TGAGTGTGAAAGAATAAGAAAAACCTTGTTAAAGAATGAAAACAATAAAAAAAAAAAAAGAAAAAAAAGAGGAATCAAGAAGACAGTAGATAACAATTGACATTGCATTTCAATTTTTTTTTTTTTTTTCAATCAAGGTTGTCTGGAAAGCAAGAAGCCAGAAGTGAGTTCCACAAGTGAGAACTGTGAGAAAAGAAACTGTTAGCAAAGAACTTATGAGTTACATCTAGATATTTCAATTATAAAATGATGAAACCTTGTTGGCAATCTTGTACTGCACTTAAACTTTGCCAAGACTATGAATTTATCAGAACAATTACCATGAAAATATTTATAGAAAAGGCACAGGGAAGCTACATTACAACAGTGGGAAAGTGATTGAATCTGGGATGCAAGGTCAGGGCCAATAACATTGCAGATTCTTTGTATTTTATCGAGGATCTCTAAATATATAGCAACTTGTGGAATCTTCAGTTTTTTAATTAATGTCATATTAAAAGTAAACTAACAGTATCTGTGAAAATTTCAGTTTTCTCTATTTGAAGTTTTTGATCAATCATAATTTTTGATTTAATGATTGAATAAGCTTCCTGTGGGTTCCACAATAATAAAATACCCATGGAAAGTCCTCATTGCATTGTTAAATATCTGAATTTCACAATTTAAAAATATATTGCAATAACAATTATAAGTATGAATGCAGGTGATTATTTAAGGAAATAAGAGGGTACAAATGAAAAAAAATTTAAAACTGAACGTTTTTCATTTCACTGAAGCACACATGTGCAAAAGTATTATTTCCTCTTCTATCTTTCTTATTGTTATGCATGTGTTCTTTTTCTCACTAAGACTAAAAAGCATCTCTGATATATATTTTTCTTCTCTCTTTCCTCACAATCAAAACAGAAGGGTCCATTATTTATCTGAGGTAAAGGCAAGGTATAAGGCATGTGCTAACAGAAGGACAAGCAGAATTATAATGAATATAGAATGACTCATATGTGATTTTTAAGCTAATTTTACAAGATGTTGATAACAAGTTAATTTCTTATCAATTTACTAATGAAATGTGGCAATTGCTAAAGTTGTTTTCATCCATTGTGTCTACATGTAGTGTATTTATATATTTTTAAAATTCTTAATACAAAAGTTCTATAAAATTGTTATTAAATTTAACTAAAGCAATTAAAATGAATTTATATAGATTCACCTGTGTCTGTTCACAAAGGTATGTTTACAAATCATTAAAAGAAAAAAGAACTCTCACTTAATGGTTTGCAGTGTCAGAAATAAATATCACAATATCATAAACAAAATGCTATGACAACATGTCACTTTTTTGATTGGAAAAGTAAGTGGAGAGTCAAGTGTCTGTCCTTGAGAAGAAACAATATAACTTAACATTTCCTAAGTTTGATTCATTAACAAACTAGTTTGAAGCCATCACTGAGACAAATACCGTTTTGTCAAACACAATACATTTGCACAGAGGGATGCAGGCAATTAATTACAGAAATATTTGCTTGGCTGGGTATCAATGAAAAAAAATGAAAGCTTTGTTATCTCTTGTCTAATAACTTTTCTGATCATAAAAATTCAAAGAGGAAATATATGTGGAAAAAAAAAAGACAATGTCTGGTCTATGATAATGATATCCTCTAGTTCAATGTTGTCCATGGGGAGAGATCACAGTACTGTACAAAGCTTACATAGGAAGAGGGGAAAAAAGAGCACTACTTTCTCAGGTGTGAAGTTTAATCAGCAGTCATGAAACCATACAAAAAAATAGACAACTCCAGAAAGGAGCCTGAATATATTATTGGATCAATCAAGGAGTTCCACTAGCAAACCTGACTTGGAAGTGGTACTATGCAGAAGCCAACACTTAACAAAACTGAATGATTTAGCAGAAAGCATATCATAGCAACAAAACACAAGACCACAACACTAAATGGAAAACACAATCTAAAGTCAATAAAAACTGAGAATGAATTGATCAAAATGCTGTTATAAAAATGCTGAAAATCCCTGTTGTTTTGAAAACTGGTATTTCCAAGGGTGTAAATAAATAGTAGATTTTTAATTTTCAGAACAAATTCAACATTTATGAAGGTAATGAGATATTTTGAGGGATTCAGAGTGAATTTTGCAGTAACACTCTTTGAAGCTCCTTTATAATTTTTTTAACTGTTAGGATTTTCATACAATAATGGTGGGGATGGGGAATTATCTCTTCATTTTGTTTAATGTCCCCAAGAACTAAGATAACAACAAACATTGATAGTTTGTTGTACTAGATCTTCTGACAGTCTTGACTTTGATTTATCTAATGTTAACCTTGACTCTTTGTTGTTGTTCTTGGTATAAAATCTTTTTTTTTTCTTTTTCTAATCATTTCATCCAAAGCAAAGTCATATTGCCACTAGAATACAGGGTGAAAGAGAATGAGAAAAAATTGACGAAAAGACAAAAGAGGGACAGGCTTCAAGAAGACAAAAGATAGCAATAGACATTGCATTTAAATTTTTGAAGATTGTAGTTATCAGGGAAGCAAGAAATAGGGAGTTTGGGTAGTGCAAGAAAAGAAACTGTTAGATTAGAAGTGGCAGTTACATCTAGCTAGTTCAATAGTAAAACGGTGAGACCAAGTTGCGAATCTAATAATGCTTAAATTCATGTAGTTGTAGCATCAGGGAAAAATTCTCATCAGAACAGTTGCCATAAAAATATTTGTAGAAGAGACAGAGGGAAGTCATGTCATGTCAGAAAGTAACTAAAATCATGATGCCTGATTGATTGCATTACAGACCCCCCCCCTTTGAATTTTGTGAAGAATCTCAAGTGGTACAGCAGGAGCACCAGATCCAATATGGCAACAGTATACAATGCACAAACAAATGGTAGATTTATAAATGTGCAAGATGTATTCTGACCAGAAAAATTTTCTGGCACTACACAGTAAATCAACTTTCCTTGATGTAGACAATTAATTAAATATAGTCACTTCACTTCATTGGTGGAAAATGTGAAGCCAAGAAAGTGTAGAGTGTTGCTCTCATGAAGTCTAGCATCAGCCATGCTAATATCAGACAGAAAAGTTTCTCTGTGGTGATTAACTCTAATACTTTGTGTATGTTTGTTTGTATGTTAATTTGTCTTGTTTTCCAAAATTATTTTTGAACTCTCAATATGATTGAGATTATCAATAACTATTTTTTTAAAACAAACTAACAAGTATAAAGCAAACATTTATCATTGACTTTCATTTTATTTTTATATACAGATGTACATACTCGGAACATTTAAACTTTGATTTTACTTTGTGGTGAATTAGCTTTTTTCAACACAAAATCATGACAAGATTATCAAGGTTTTCAAATTTTAAAGAAGTATATTCAAAAAAGGAATTTGTGGATTTTATAAAATTTTACCTTATAATCAGTTGCTATATAATGTTTGCTCAACACTGGTTCTATAATGTTCTTTCAGAATGAAAAAGAAATTAGTTTGAGATTCTGATGTTCCACATCAGAAAGTACTTCGCTTTCTCAGAATGTTTCCTTTTTTATCATGAAAACCTTATCTTTTATTTTTTAACTCATTATTGTTGTAACAATAAATGATCACTAATGTCTTGCAAAGAGGATTTCTTCTATAAGATAAATTCTTTATTATTCTTTCTCTTGCTATGTTAATGGCTCTCATTACTGCATATTCATACTTGCTTTGGATGAAATGATTAGAAAAAGAAAAAAAAACAGATTTTATACCAAGAACAACAACAAAGAGTCAAGGTTAACATTAGATAAATCAAAGTCAAGACTGTCAGAAGATCTAGTACAACAAACTATCTATCTAAATGTTATTCTCTATATTTGATTTCAATTATTATGACTAGAATATAAAGTAAATATATGAAAATGTTATGACTTATGTTGTCTCTTATGTTTCTTAAACAATTCTTTATCCTGAATAAAAATGTATCCCACTTTGCTTTTCACTTTTTCAATAATAAATAATGAAAAATGAACACTGAAATTCTTTTTTCTTTTGTACATCTCATGAAACTGAACATTTAAGAAAAGTCAACATCTTGTTATGCTGATTGCTTAATTTACAAATTCTCAAATGTGGTTATCAGGATGTTCATAGATGTCTTTGTTGTCATTAACTTATGACTTGTTAACTGATTTACAAAAAGACTCCATCAAAAGATGTATTTGTAAATTTGGTCCTGATCTGTAATCATGGAAAAAGTTTTGAGTTCGAGCCAAGTTTGTTGTTAATGAACAAGAAACAGGATGAAGTAGAGGAAAATTCATCTTGAAAGTAGATTTGTTTTTTTTTTTTTTTTTTTTTCACAGGAGAAAGAATATGGTCAAACAAGCTTGGTTTCACATTTATGAAATGTGACAAAATCTTTGAACTTATTGTTCATTAATTTATATTCTATATAAAGAATAAATTAATGAACAAGTTGAACCATTAAATAACTTTGAACTTAGAACCAATGAAGATCCAACCCTAATGATTTTATTAATATATATCAAATTAACTAAATGTTAACATTATTAACAGATCTATCATTACTTGCTCTGTTGAAAGGGAATCAATCTTAAAATTGAGTAAAATTATAATCTGTAAATTTTTATAATTTCACATTGAAAAACAACTGAAATATTTAAAAATCAAACATCTGTGAGCATTGAAAATTTCTTGACCCAATGAAGAAGCTCAATTAGAAAAAGAAATTTTGATGTTTGGTCAGATTTTGTGAAGTGTGTCAGGCCAATAACTTTTCAGCACTCCTTTGTGATTTGAATTTACATTGTTATTCATTCTTCTGCTTTACTTTTTTTTTTTTCATAGATCATATCAATGAAAATAACATGGCTCTACAAATGTTATTCTTTTAACTGAAACATTATCAAACTGACCTTGATATCTGTTGTCATGCCTGCAAATGTTTAAACAATTGTTTTATTTTTATTTCTCTTAAGTTGGTGGTATTTACACAGTGATTAAGTCCAAGGCACCAGTCACTGTTGAAGAACTTGGGGAACAATATTGTCTTTTGGGCCCTTATAATGAAGAATGTGTGCGTACAGAAGTTGAGCTCTTGGAACCTCAGTATTATGTTTACAAAAATGTCATCCAATCAATGGAAAATCAAGGAATCAGGGTAAGTTATGTTAGTGTTGCTACAGATTGAGCTTTGGTACACATTACCTTATCTTTTCAGCCCCTTATAGATGGCTGTATCAGCCACTTTATTATCATTGTGATTTGAGTAAGATGGGAAATGACACAATGGAAAATGTATTCCATGAAATTGCTTCAAATTTTGGTCACTAACCACTTTTAACAATTTCATGCTGATGAGATAATATATAAATTTAAGCTTTTCTCCTATCATTTTATCATTGTCATTGCAATTCCAATGCCTTTTAAACTGTTAAATATAAATATGCATTTTGATTGATATCTAAAATTAAGTATCATTTCCTTTTGATTATCAATCCCATAAATCTAACCAGAAAATCAGATTATAAATGTTTTTGAACATTTGTGAGTTAATCAGCACTTGTACCTAGGCTAACTATAAATAAGGGGTTTGTATGCCATCAAATATGGTATTTGTTAGAAAACATTTAATGTTTTAAAGATATGTCTTAAAGCTGTTTTGGGATATGTGTATATCTGCTCAGTGAAGCTTTTACTTTGAAAAGAAATTAAGGGCTCAGTGATATTGATCTGCTAACCCCCCACCCAAATTGTGCCAGTATTATATTTTCTATTTTTATTTTCAATTTCACTTGGTAGAATATCTTTTACAGATATTCTTTGGAAGATGGCTTATTGAGGGCTATCCAAAAGTTGTCCTCTTTGACATTAGTTCTGCTGCCTGGAAGCTGGATGCATTCAAACAAGAACTGTGGGAGCTCTCAGGAATTGGTATTCCTTGGCATGACAGAGAGGCAAATGATGCCGTCATCTTTGGTGCACTTGTAGCCTGGTTTATTGCTGAAGTAAGTTAGCCATTTTTGGTTTATTTCCTTCTCTTTTTCAGAGTCTTCAAGTTATTAATGGAAAATTGGTGAAAAGTTTGATTTTGTTGCTAGATGACAATAGGTGTGTTTACTTTTAACTAAATTCACTCAAAGATATCATATTTGCTTATACAGGGTGCAATGGGTAAATTGTCGCCATTTTAGATTTTTAATTTTGCACATGTGTGTTTGTTTTTGATTTTGTTAACTACACAGTATAGTAGAATCAGTTGGGCACCATCTGTGAGATAAAGAACACCATGACGTAATTCACTCTGCCAGAAATTTTAAAATAGCACGCTCTCCTGCTTAGCATTCATGCTAGAGGCTCCAATATGAACATTTCAGCGTGTTTGGGTATCAATCTGAGGACATTGCAGTGGATTCAGAAAGAGTTCAATAAGTCTAATGGTGATTACAAAAGTACAACAACTTGGAAAACTCACTGTGATCATTCTGATAAGAACTCCTAAATTTGTTAGTGAGGGCCTCAGACTCAACATGGAATCCTACATCAAGTGCCTTGAGGAGGTAGTACTGCTCTGGGCCAAGAGGGTGACTGCTGGAAGACCCTATGTCTGGCAAAAAGCTCTGCACCATGCCACACAAGCAGTGGAACCCAGTCATGGCCATCAGACAATTTCTGCAACCACGTCACCCCTTACATCTGTCCATCTAACTCTCCAGACTGCAACGCCCTTGATTATTACGTGTGGGGCACAGTTGAGAAACCAACAAAACTCCTTGTAAGAACAAAGACGAACTGAAAGAACTTATGGAGGCCATGGCTGTAGCCCATGTCAATTTTATTGAATAAATTTACTCTTTAGTATTTCAAGATATTTTTTGTGTAATTTTGATAAATATATCTGTTAAAATGAAATGTCAGTGTTATTTTCATTTTTGTGTCATTTAGATGACAATTTATCCATCATACCATGTTTTGTGACAATTATTGTATCTGATATTTTTTTTTTTTTTTTTTTTTTCAAAATTTGTTTATTGATTTTGACATTGAAGATGGAAGAAAATAAGCAACATTTGTGGCATATTTTTTTTAAATTTTTTTTTTTATTTTAAGTAAAAATGTGACTCAAACACAAAAGGTTATATAGCCTAAAAGGAAGGTAATCTGTTCTGTGAGTTTTGTGTTGGAGATTTCTCACTGATTTAGTAACTGCTCAACTAAAACTAAAAATACCAAAAGGAAACATTTCTATCAGATTACTTATGTTAGTCACTTTATGAGATGTGGCTTTCACAGATTTAAACAAAACAAAAAATGTTCCCTTTTTCCCTCTGAAAGTTGCTACTTAAATGTAATGAGAATTTTCTGTTTTCAAGACAAATTGGGAAGAGCAAGGAAAAGTAAAATCCAAATGTTTATATAAAATGACCTGAAATTGATATACAAATGAAATCATGCATATTTCTCTTAAGATCAAAAAGTAATGGCAATTGCATGGGAAAAGTAGGCCATCAAATAGTGTATTTTGATTGCAAATAAATATAGCTGAAATCTGTGGCTCAAATTGCTTCCCAACATATTTAGTAAAACTAGGACAGATAAGAAAAAGTTGGAGAAAAGATTAACAATGATGGCAAATTAGTTGTTGGTTAGTCAATGAAAAATCTTGATCAATATATTAAACAATTTTAAAAAATTGTTCCTATTAAGTTTTCTTGAGGACTTCATTAACTAACTGTTGACTTGGTTTGGGATTTCAGGAGTTTGTAATTGTTTTGAAGAGAGGTTATATGTGACAATCACAGTTCCAAAAAGGCCATAAAATAATATCCAGTTAGATACCTATTTAATCAATAAGTCTGCACTGCTATGTGGTAGGCATACTGTTGCAAGTCTACAATGGCATGTCTACAAGCCTTCACTACATTATTTTATTTTCTTATGGCAGCCATTTTGTTTAACATTTTTGTGAGTATGCAGTATTTGGCCTTTAGTTGACAAAATTAAATTACTTGGGTTATAAATAATAAAGCAATTGAACATAACATTAATATTTCAAAGAATATTAAATAATAAAATAAAAATAGAAAAAAAGAATTTATTTTAAAAAATGAAAAAATTTTTTTTTTTTTCAATAATAAAATTAAGAAACAGTTGACTATAGAAATAACTCTTAATAAAAAATATAAACTAGTACAAACTATGCTACTGCTATGACCTTTTTAGTAAAAAATGAATATAGACTAGTATTTTATTAAAAACTAAAATTAAATGTAGTAAAATGTTAGTCACTGAAGGTATGTAATCACGTGAGAGCATGACTGTTGCATGCTAAAGCAGACTAATTGATTAAAAAAAAGTATTTCCTGGATAGTTGTTCTTCTCTTCATAAGATTATTGAATGTACTGTCATTTATATACACCAATATCTATGACCTTAGGGTCATTTTATTCAGTTTGTTATATTATGCTGGGCAGGACAGATTTAACAAACTTGTGGTTGAAACCTGTAGCAATAAGGAGTGTCTTTATGATTCAGCAAACCTCTACACTATAATTAAAGCAATAAAGTTAGCTTTTTAGGTAGTAATTGTAATGTGTGCAACATTGACTACAGCTTGTTTCATTGTGGTTTTCTCGATTTGAGAGTCTATAAGCCGTGGCTAAGGCGTCTGCAATGCACCTGCTCACACTAAAAGATCAAAGAATAGTCTCTCACTTTTTCCACACACTGACCACTTGAATGGAATATCATTTACTTTATTGTTAGTGATTTCACTTGGTAAAACATATAATTGCAGATATACATTATTCTCTCCTGGAGCAATATTATTTGTACAAAGGCCATTTTGTAATCCAGTTAATTATAATATCGATTTGGCTGAAATATTTTGATGGCTTTGACTGTGTTTGCAATGTTTAAGATGAGTCTTTGATTCATCTTATTTCATATTAGTAAAATAGATTGTTTAATCAAGTTAAATTTGGAAGTGTTTCAATTTGTACAAGTTTTTCAGTTCCCAGTTCTTTGTATATTGTAATGTAGGGTCAAAGGAAATATTTTATACACTTTATTTAAATCTCATCATAGAAAAACCATGCAAACTTTTTATTTTTTTTAATTGTCACCACATCAAATGTGCAAAATGCAGCAAGCAATTAAACTGATTTAAAAAAAAAAATACTTGAGAATTGTTTATGCCTTTTACTGATTTTTACACACGCATTTACCAAAAAGTCATAACAGACACTGAATGCTGTATTTGTAAGACATTCAGCCCTAAACCCATTAGATGAAAAAGAATGATCCTGTTCATTGGGACATTGCAGAAAGAAAAACAACAAAAATCTCTAATCTCTACACAACTGATAACATTTCAAGTGAGGAAAATGGCTATGAATATGACCAATGTTCCTGAAGGACAATAACATTGAAACAGGAATTAATCAATTAATTTTAATGCAATATAAATAAAAGAAAGTTGGGAAACTTCAAGAGTGAATGGTTTAAACTTTATCATTGGCTTACCTATCACATTGATAAATGTGCTTGTCATCAGAAGGTTAGGATAAAGTAGTTAGGCTATTGATCAAACACAAAGCACAAAATGTCACTGTTGTGTCATCTAAACACTGTACTCAAGCAACAAGTAGCATGCAACTGAAAGTATTTAAAATTATTATTGGAATTCAGTTGTTCACTGACAAACAAAATATAGCTTGGCAAGAAACAAAGAAGATTTTGGTAACTTTTTTGAAACATCTGCATTTTTTGATTCAAGAATATTACTTGGAAAAAAAATTTGAAAGTTAGAAGAACATATGTAATGAACCTCACCTAATGTCGAAAATGAAAATATTGATATTATGGCTGAGAATGTTTAAGATGATATATATCAAATGTAAAAAATATTTAAGATAGGGTTGAATAAGTCAAAATATGCCTTCTACTGAAAGAAGCACTTTCTCTGAGATATCGAAACTCATAATGAGGTAAATTTATTTCCTTTCAAAATTACACCTTTATTTTATTCAACATTGTCATCATTTAGTGCTAAACGTTTTTCAAAAATGCTCTATCAGAGCTGTACAGAGAGCGCACAGCAATTGTGAATTTCAGGCTTCACATGATTTTGCTGACTAGCATTGCATTATCAAAATGCAAAAGAAATTCTGCATTCTTGCTTTAATCTGCAAATGTGTTTGAGTGCTTGAAATATTTCATAAAATACTTTGAAATCATCATTCCCTTTGATAGAAATTTTGTTCAAATGAACCCCTAATATTATGCTGCTTTATATGTAACTTGGATATAAACAAAACTGTATTAAGTATAAAAATACATAAATTTCTCTAGGTATTGACATGAAAATCCATAAAAAAAATGATTCTTTATTTAACACCATGACACCACAACAAATTTGAACAGTTGAAGAACCTTTTTTTAGTTGAGAGAGAGAGAGAGAGTTGTTATAGCCACAGCCTCCACACATGAGGCTATAGAAAGTAGTTATTAATAATGATTTTACTTATATTTTTAGTAGTTTGTGTAACAAAATTGATTTGTAAAATATCTGTATAATATAGGTTTTTAGAACACATCTTCAATTACTACTTCATATTTCTTAGGATACCAGTGTAGCAAATTCCTTCATACCTGGCAGTGCACAGCATTTTAGTAGTAGGACTGAAATACAATTTGAACATTTTAGTTATTGAATTCTCACTTTAGAATTTCAGTTAATAAGAGATTGAACAGCAGATAAAGTTTCTTCTTTCAGTCAAATCATTTAACTGCTGTATGACTGGAAGGACACAAGTGAAAAATGGCTGAATGTCAATGACTTGCAATGTAACTAAATATCCCTTTTTTTTTTTTATATCTACTCCTGAAACCCTTGCTCAAGCCATACCATTGAATATATTACAAGAGGGTGTTGCAGGATTCTTAGCCTAAGCCACTATCCAAAATGTGACCAAATGTCAAATTCATTTTTTTTTTTTTTTTTTT